GCAGATCGGAGAAGGAAAACTATGAGCAGAATCCTGAAGAAATAAATTCATTACACCAGCAGAACTGCGGCTTGGCGTACCGTAGGTGCCAAAGATGTAGCCGAAGACAGCCCTGAGGTCTTTGTTCTCCGTCAGTTTATTGACCACTTCTGTGAGGCTGCAGGGTGCCATTCTGAAGAAGGAGGACAGACGTTTGGCCAGGCCGGTGTACACCAGGAACTTAGCCAAGGGGACGGGGCAGAGCTTTAGAAAAGCGAGGAACCAAATGCCCTGCGCAACTTTCTGAAGACAAAACATACAAGACACACAGATGACGGCTATAATTAACTAACTGACCAAGGTTATAACTGACTGACAAAGACACTAGTTTTATTTCCATAGTGATCCCACTTATATTTTCCAAGGTTGCTGTTTAGTATATTTGATGATATGATCCTACAAAGTAAGATGTTTTTTGACTGTGGAACTTTAAACATTTGTAAATTAACTCTGAATACATGCACTGAGGATGGACTTCCACAGGAAGATGGGGAAGCAGAAGGACTTATAGAAGAATACTTAAAGACTGAAACTACAGAGAACCATTTGGGGAAAAAGGCACATATTGGTACTTATTTGAAATTATCTCTTAGGCCCATGAAACAGAAAAGTGAAAGTTGTATCATAATGTAACTCTGTTATTAAGAATCCATCTCCTGTTAATGTTTACTCGCCTCTTGTGTCTTTTTTGAATGAAAGTTCTTCTTTCTTTCCTCCTTTCTTTCTTCCTTCTTTTTCACCACTAAAAGTGTTAGGACAGCAAAAATTGCCAAAATTGGCACATAAGTTGAAAATTCCACACACTACTCAGGCAAATAAAATGGTGGCGCTATAACAATCAACTTTGCGTTTTTGCAATTATCTCAAAAACAGCTTCATTTACAGTCAAACATCTTTCATTATTTTAATCTCTGGATTCATCTGCATCTTTGCTCCAATGGTCTTCTGCTCTAAAAATGTCAAATTATACGACTTTTTATCACTTTTCTCTAAAACCTATTTTTGCGAACTCGTCCCAGACGGTTTTACCAATCGACCTGAAACTTTGGCAGGTTCATCTACGGACTTCACCTATCAAAAGCTGTCAAAAGAATTTTGATAAGTCAATCTGTTTTATTTACGTACAATTTTACATAAATGCCCTTAAATCATAATTAGCTTAAGCTATTGTAACCAAACTTGACACATCTGTTCAGATGCTCGGCAATTAACATCTATATCTCCACAAGTCTTTCTTCAAACGCTACCATGTCTGGCACATGCACGTCACTACCTCAACTTGTGAGAAGGTGTGTGGAAACTGCCTCTCACTAGTAGCTCAGTCAGTAAGTCACCTACTCTGGAGCTCTAGAGGTGCAGGGTTCAAATCCCCAGGTGACTGAGTCAGACTTGCTGACAATGGGGGTGTTCAGATCATAGTAGTTTTCTATTTTATTTGGATCCCGTGACACGTGCTTCTTATTTTTCTCTGTGTTGTGTAGCTTAAACTTTAAAACACAATATGTCGCAGATGGGTTGAACATTTCACCCAGTAGTCAGGTACATATAATGATGCTCTCTGATCACAAGGTGATGCTGTAAAAATCAAGTTTGCGTTTCCGCAATTATATCAAAGTGCAAATTCTTTAATCGCTTTAATCTCTTAAGTCGTCTGCGTCTGTTCTTCTCCTCGGAAAATGTCAAATGTTGAGTTTTTCACAACTTGCTTGGATCCCGATCATTGCCGCTCGTGGCTATATTTTTTTAAAATGTTTTGCCTTCAAGTTAATGTTTGCAAACAGCTAACAGAAAGAAAAAAAAGTTGAAAATATGAACAGATTCAGTAAATTGACACCACAAAGATAAGGAAAGTGACTTTTCTTTATCTGTGTGTCAAAGCAAAACACTATTGTAACTCAGTCTGGGTAAAGTTATGTAACTTCTCAGCTAATAAGAGGCCTCGCCAATTATTCTGACCTTTGATTTGCCAACCCTTGGGCCCTTGACGATACCAATAGAAATCTAGATAATGAAGCCTCTTTGTGCAAAAGTACAGTTTATGAAAATGCATTTAGCAGTTTTTGCACATTTAAACAAGTAGAGAAAAAAAAGGCTAGATGTTACTGAAAAAACATTTTACCCTAAACAATGAATGTCAGTTTTTGTATTGAAGCTGCAGATAATCAATATTTTGTCCTGATACTTTAAACTACCTGACAATCTGTAATGCAAAGAGATCCCACCTTGACCAGCTTCACGTACTCATCAATGGCCTTCTCCTCTCCAGGGAAGCACTTCTTCAGCTCCTCACGGAAGCGGGTTCTGCCGCTGTAGATGGGATACCGGCGGCGGTTTTCCGGTGGTCCCAGCACTACATGGTCAAACGGATTCTCCAGAGGCTCCCACTGCAGCTGTCCATTAGTAATGTGGTCTACCATACAGCGGAACGACTGATGCTCCAGCAGGTTGCCGATGTAGTGGATTCCTGAGGGAGGAAGGCAGAAAACATGTGGACGCAGCAGGGTTTTATGAGACCAAGACCTTCCTGTTGGAAGTAAATGTTTGTTGCCTTGAAATATTCCCATCTGGCTACATCCCAAAGACAGAATACAGGAAATGATTCCCCTCACCCAAACAAATGTATATTTGCACAATGTTTAAGTGCCCAAATTTTGATGCTGGGTAAAAAATCTTTACAGAGTGTCAAATGACAAATGATAAATGAAACCTTCACAGTGTTTCATTAATTTTAGGTGCAACATATTCATGAAAAGAAACAAGAGGCATCCTTCTCACCAACATCAAACTCAAAGCCCTTCTCAGAGAACGTGTGGCAGCATCCTCCAGCCCGACTGTGCTGCTCCAGGACCAGGACTTTCTTTCCAACTTTGGCCAGGAGCACCGCAAGCCCAAGCCCACCGATCCCACTGCCAATGATGATGGCATCCAGGTTGTCAGGTACTTTACTGGCCACAAAACCTACAGAAAGGACAGTAAAACATTCAAACAACAGCGTGGCTACAGTCAAAATGGCACAACAGTGAATCTGCGGATTCCAGAAAGAGAACAAATATTTACTGGATAGTCGATTGACATAAAATGCATCAGTGAAAACATTACTTCACAAGCTACCCAGCAGATAAAGTAGTTAATATTTGATCCACCACAACAATAAAGTGGTAAACACATTAATGCATCACTAGGGAAATAATTAAATTAAATAATTCTGAAATGGGCCCTTCTGCATAATGAGGAGGCCTTCTTTTACTTTTTGTACATTAAGTATATTTTCATGGTAATACTTTATTTGTACTTTTACTTAAGCAACATTTTGAATGCAGGATTTTTACTTGTAACACAGTATTTCTACACTGTTATATCGCTACATTACGTAAGTAAAATACTTCCACCACTGCTAAAAGGTTACGACATACAAACAGGCGCAAAAGACATTTGTAATTAAGTTTACCTTGCTTCAGAACTTTATTTTTCTCTTTCTTGTCGTGAACCATCTTTTTCAACGGTTCACGAGTATCCGTCTCAAAGGGGTTGGGCCCGGAGCTGCTGAAGACATATTTTAATATAAATATGACCAAAGCGACACAAATTATCCCGAAAATAATCATTGAGGCTGTTCATAGACCAGATAGATGTCGGCCACTGTGTTCAATTCCGGGTTACACCCGCCGTTAAAGTACCACCTACATAACTGACAGGTGATAAAACCCAATTAGAGCCATCCTTTAGTACGCGTCAGGCAGTTCTGACCAATCAACATTAAGCTCAGTATGAGAGAGACGCCTCGTTATAAAATCAAGACATGTTTCATAATTTCAAAGAAAAGGTCTGCTTGACCTGAAGTGTCCCTTATGAAGAAATACAATGAACAAAAACTATTATTAATATATATTAAAATAGATAGGTACCTTTTATACAATACAATTATTACTACTATTATCTGAGACCTTAAGAATAATCTTATAATCAATTCTTAAAAACAGCCTAATTTTTACAAATCCTACAAATCTCTGTTTTATTAAGCTCAGTGGAATATAAATGTGTTGAGTTTTATTTTATTCTACTCCATTTTCAATACTTTAAAACACCTGATTTTGTTTAATTACACAGCTGAAATGTCTTCTTGATGTTAATTCTTTATTTAGTTTAAAATGTAGAGCTGTACAGAATTATTAGTCAGTGGTGTTAGTAGTTGTACTGTATGTACACAAAAACAGCAATACCTCTTTGTATGGGTATATGTAAACTATTCATCTGATAAGGCAGGGAGCCTTTCCAAACACCCTGTCAGTTCATCATCTGGAGTAATATTGTCAACAAAATTTGCCAGTTGAACCACAATAATTTTGCTGCAGTTCAGAAATTCTTTACCTTAGCTCCGGTTTAAACCTCATGAAAGAGGTAGCAGGTGGACCTTGAGTTAAGATTTGTTGCCAGTGATTTACTGTAACTACATAAGTTGCCGCCTTGATTTGATGGAGTTTAATTTGTGTGAACATAAAAAAAATCCTTTGACAGAACCTCACAGCAACTTCTAGATTTTATTTTTTTGCTCCAAAAAAAAAAAAAGAAAAAAGGAAACTTCACCTGCATCTTCACAGTCTTTTCCTGCATCATAATACCATGAGAGCCACTATTGTTTTACATCAGTTTGCAAATAGAACCAACATCTTACATAAGAAACACTTTAAGTGGGGCATTTTCCCCAGTCATCATCGCCACCAACCCTGCACAACGTCCTGGAAGTCCATGGGCCCCGTTCCAACATCCACCCTCACATACCTTCACTGATGTCACCTGCATGATCAGGGTAGAGCTCTAAATGCTGTATTGAGGTGAAATGCTACCAGCAATGCTCATATTTCATATTACGTAGGTTAATAATATTGTGTTGTCACTTTTTAAATAAAGCTTATAAAAGCATAATATAAGTGATGTTATTTCATTGAATGAGACAGATACAAACCATGATCATGCCTTTATACAGCAAAGAACTAAACACAGGAGGTGCCGTGTGCATTTAAACTTTTGCTAGATCTATCAGCTTTTCTATTTTCTTATATTAATGTTCATGATTATTTTCAACACTTGATTCCCTCAAGCAAAGTCAGAATCCTGAACTCAACAAGTCTTCGAAATAACGCTCAGGCACATTTCCCACCTCAACTGAAGTGTTTGCAGACCTTTCCAGCCTGAGAGCGCATAAGGGTGGACATTGAAACGGACACAGTTTAATCAAGAGGTGTCATTAAAAATCTGATCCCTGCTGACAAAATGTGTTCTCGTCTGCAACCATTCTGATTTTTTTTGTTTCCAACTGAGCTGCTCCATTGTAATCAGTCTTCTGTTAGTGCAGTAAACTGGGGAGGAGGGTCATGACAGATGAGACGAACTCCATAAGACAAATGCCAACTCTGGCATAAAAATCTTCAAGCAGTGCTAAAACAACTCCATAATGATTGACAGAACAAAGGGTCTGATGAAAATTTTCTTTTTTTTTTTTTTTTTAAAAAGAGACACAGGGTCAAGCATGACAAGAGAAATCTTAACAGAAGCCCTTATCTGGTGTCCACTTTTGGTATTTATTACCTCACCTTTTTTAACCTTTTCCTCTTTAAAATATTTTTTCATCATTTTGATTTTTCATTTTTGTTTATCTCTAAAACTGAAGGATGACAGATTTATTTTAATTGCAAAAAGCACTTCCAACGTTTAGGAATAAAATAAAACCGTATGTTCTAGTTTGTATGTGTTAGGGCATAATCCGCAGTAATGTTTGATATTATTTACATGTATTGTATGTTTTTGTAGGTATGCCAACAGTGAGTGCTTGGTATTTGTGCAAACTGTTCTTGTGTGTATGTGTGTTTGGTACAATCAAGACAGCTCTCAGATGAAATACAGTTGTTTGGGATGGTAACTACATTGGCTTAAGGTCCATGTGATCGAGGGAGAAGGAAGAGCACGAAGACTCTCCCTGCCTCCCCGCCTGGCAGCGGTAGTGCAGATCAAAGTTCAAAAGGTCAAAAAAGTAAAAATGGGCGGTGGGTTTTCAGTTCCTGAAGCAGGAAGTCAGTCCATCCGTCAGGTGGTCAGTGCGATGGTGTGGTCTCCTGGCCTGTTGGTGACACTTGTGTGTGTGGCGTAAAGGGATGTCACTGCAGCACCAACCCAACCTGAGAAAAAAAAAATTAAAAAATGTGGAGCTGTTAGGAAGTAGTTACAAGCACATTTTGTGAAACTTTTATAGTTACAGGGTTTCTGCAGGGTTCACCAAGTGACATTTAAGAAGTCTTAAGACCTTTTTAATACCACAAAGATAGCTAATGAAGACTTCTTTAATGGTCAAACCGGCTAAAGGACAAAAGCATGGAAAACCAGTAGGGACGGTAGGGCATGGATTCATTTATTATATCACATTATTTCAGTATTTCTCAGCAATATAAGAATATTTATTAATGATATAATAAATTTCACTAGTAGAGTACAGATCTCCGCCAAACCTGGTATCACCAAATGGAGTATGTCTGTAATTCTGCATGTAATCACAACAGATTTCTTGCTTATCATCGCATGTATGAAAGCAACAAAGCTTTACCCTTGTTAAACGCACTGTCAAATGAAGAATATCACATAACTGATGATGACCCAAGCCTCAAATCCTAACTGGTGCTTCGGAAAGCGCTTCATTCAGTTTGACAGTTCAGAAAGTTTTACAGGTACAGTGTGATCGGCACATTAGTGGGATAAGAAGAATAACTGAGAAATATGGCGTACACTAGAGAAGACATAAATTAGGTAATTTCTTGCTGATACCAAGTAATGATGTAATAAAAGTAAAAGGCAAATTTAATGAATATCATTAAATTATTATGGAGTGAGAAATCAATGGTGATTTAAAAACAGAAGTCAATAAAATGGGTTTTAAAGAAATTGTGAATCACCGCAACCACGAGACAGTGTTTGCTGACTGAAACTCCACGAAAAGGTTTGCGTGCATGATTCACCGTTGCAACAATCTGACTTTTGTGTGTAACGTCTCCCGGCAGCCCATTACAGCCTACGCAGGTAACGGCAAATAAAAAAGGGGAAAACTAAATTCCATACAGATACCCCTGGCTTATGATGTTGCCTTTAGAAAAAGAAGTCGTCCCGGAAAATGTACCTTTTCTGAACCCATGCTGGGACACTTCCAATTGTACAGGTAATACTGTAGATTTCCATCACCGATGCCGAACTTAAGCTTCTCCAAAAATGTCTTGTTTTCCATTAGATCCAGTGCGTTGAAGACGTCAAACCCTTTCTGCATAAAAAGATAAGAAAGGAGAAAAAAAAAAAATCTTATTAGTTTTCAGGGGGTAGACATTTCAGAGAACACACACGGACTGAAGAGGAACACACCGATTTGGCCAGGATGAGGGCATCAGACATCAAGTCCAGCAGGGGGGTGGTGGTGTGCACATTGTAGAAGGAGTATGCCGCTTTTAGACTGCGGTGCACAGGGTGGTTCATAATGGTAGAAGGCAGTGTGTAGAAACTCAGGAAGTCAGTCACCTTACCATTGTTCTGTCAAGAGAACAACATACATTTTTATAAAGCCTGGGTTCAAGACAGAATTATTTAACAGGAAAAACATGTTTCTGGAAAAACCTCTGCAATATATTTTTTTACCTCCACCAGGTAAGTGTCAATAATATTCTCCCGGGGCAGCAGCCAGTGTTCCACCTCTTCCTGGTTCATGGCAGGCGCCAGGTTGAACTGGCTCAGGTATTCACGCAGGAGGCGATGCACCACCGGCACATCCTTCTTGGTCATCGGCCGCAGACCTTGAGTCTTAGGAGCCTGAGGGGAAGAAGACAGTTGAGGGGAACAATAGAGGTGTGGCAGAGCAATGTTGTCCTTTTGTGTTTGTCAAACTTGTGCTTTTTCCACTGACCTCAGGCAGGCGGTACAACTTCATGGTGCGCTGCATAGTCATGTTCCTGCTCAGGTGGGAGAACTTCACCTCGATTAATTTGCGTGGGTTCAAAGAGCGGTGCCAGTACCTGTGCGAAGAAACTCTGTAAGTACAAGCGAGATGGGTCTGTGCATACAGCATGTGAAGAGCCATTCTGTCAGACCCACCTGCATGTGCCCACAGGTTTGGGCAGCACCACTCCAGCAGTGTAGACAGCCTGAAAGATCCCCTGCAGGTTGACCCGTCTGGTGATTTCTCTTATCAGGACTGGGGCAACTCGTTTGGAGCGAAGCTTCTTGTGGACGCAGAGGAAATTGATCTCAACCATTTTCTTTTCGCTAAACATCAAGGAAAACGATTCATTATGCGAGTACCTCGGCAACAAACTCTACAGTGAATTTTGAGAAAGCATTTATGATAGTATTGAATACCATTTATGTTATAATTACTAATCACATTTGTTTGTTCAATTTAACCATAATATTCTATTCTACTTATTCTATTCAATTCACACACACTGTTTTTATAAACTCGCAAAATTTCTATATTGTAATTTATAAGTGTAAATCATAAGACTGTGAAATATATGTACACCGAGTGGCCACTTTATTAGATACACCTATACAATCTATTTATATACAATTCAGTAAAACAGTTCTGCTATAACATCTACGTACCTTTACAAAGATTATAATGTTCAGGTTTTTGGTGATATTAAGCAATTAAATTTTATGTTTATTACTGAGGCCATAGTCAAAGATGGTGTAGTACTGGACTACATTATATTGAGAGGTGTTTCTAATTTTGTGTCCTCCCCATTTACGTACATGAGAGGGGAAGTGGAAGTGAGTGAGATAATTAAACAGAAAAGTAAATAATCCTACTTTATGTAGCATGTGATATAACTGATTCAGTGCATTACACTTTCATGCTGCACTGTTGTGTTTACTTACATATCGTAGATACAGATGGAAGCAGGAATGGCACTGATGAAGCCTACCAGCTTCTGGTTGGAGTTAACTCTCACCCCACAATGCCACTGGGGCAACCAGCCAGGGGGTCGCAGGGCCCTGAGAAAGAGATAAATCAGATTACTGTGCTGCAATCTGAAATAATTTTTTATACAAAGTGTATCCAATGAAACATGAACATGTTGTTAGTATTTTAATTTAACATCTTGCCAGGTACAATACAGGAATCAGAAAATAATTACCAGAGCAGGAATTCAGGGGAGTAGTCAAATCGGAACATGTTGTCATCATCTTCAACATAATTCTCATTCAGAAGCGTGTAAAGCTCCTTCAGCTGGTTTTATAAAAAAATGACAGTATTAGACATATATTCATGACCTTTACAAAACACAGGAGAGTAATGTAGAAAAAGATAAATGAACCAGATCAAAGATATTTATGAAACATACATGCTAATGCTCCGCCAACCCCAACCTGTTTTTTTTTAAGCACTAATGACAATACAAATAATGTCATACATTTAAAATCTGTAAAATTTAATTTCAAAATGCATTACTGCTCGTTCTCGTATCTTATCCTCTTGGTATTAAAATCAAAATGAGGCAACAAGTTTGTGTTTGAGTACACAAGCTACAACTTTGTTTTCTTTTGGATTAAATTTTCATTGTTTTGCAGACCTCAGCATTAGTGTCCAGCTGCACTCTGACATAACAGATGCAACAATGAATGATGGACAAGTTTAGATTGGCCCTGAAATAAAAACTAGCTAACTAAAACAAAAGGGTACGAAATTGTTACTAAAAGATGTGTGTTTATACACTCTCCTACCACAGCAGGGTTCCCCAAGTCGAGGGTGTCCCAGCTGAAGCCCTGTGGGAGGCTGTATGGCTCTTCACGAATGTTGTCTTTGTCAGGTTCAATGGAGCCATGCGATGTCACGGTCTCCCCTGAAGGAAAACAAAACGGTTTCTGACAGGAAGCACAAAAAAACCCACGATACATGACATTCACTTGTTTGTGGGTTTTTACATGTTAGAGCAGAATTAAAAGCCTTGACAAATGTCATACCTAGCTTGGGCACGGGCTGTGTGTCCCAAAACTGGTAACTCCTCCGAGTTGCCTCTTCCATGGTTTTGGCGGGGCCTTGGCCTACAGAGAACAGTTCAATGGCCTTTTGGATCTCCTGTAGTTTATCAGCGGGCAACGAATTCACCTATTTAGAAAGTCAAGAGGATTTTTTTTTAAGAGAAGCACACAGAAATCAATACTGTTAAAAGTCCATCCATTTTAGTGTGAGTTGTTAAGACTGAGGTAGATAAGACACGTAATGATGTGAACATGCAGGTCTAATCAGCAGAGTGCTGCATTGTGAGCTAGCAGTGTGTAAATCTCTATATGCCACAGTCCCCAATAGTATGCTTACACCAACTCAGCCATGAGCACTACAATACCCAGCCATACGTCAGCAGACATTTTAACTCAGTAAAGACAGACAGTTCGGTCTGTGGATTACTATTATTTAGGAAACTGTATCATGATTTCTGTTTAACATCTTTGAGAATCACCTTGTAGCAGAGCTGTAACCACTGTAATGCCAAACTTTGGTGAAGTCACACCTGAATTAGATTGGTTTTGTTTTCATTTTGAATGTTAGGTAATTTGATGGTTTAATTTAAAACATGCCATTTCAAAAATAAAAATCATTTGCCTTGGCAAGGGGGTCCTGAACTGCTTCTGTGGCACCAGATTTCTTCTTCTTTTTCTGCTTCTTTTTCTTCTTCTTAGCGCCAGTGTCATCACCCAGACCTCTGTCACTAAAACAGGACAGATATAGAAGGCAACCGTATTAGTCTACTATCCCAGAGGAAAGCCACGTCCTGGTCAAAACTTATTATTTTACATGTCTACCTGGAATACCCTTTCAACATGAGGAAGATTAAAGCCACATTATACACACCTTTGTCTTAAACCACACACACACACACACACACACACACACACACACACACACACACACACACACACACACACACACACACACACACACACACACACACACACACACACACACACACACACACACACACACACACACACACACACACACACACACCTTATCAACAAGTAAAAGTCATAAAAAAATTAAAGTTATTCTCCCTGCTACCTACTAACACCATTTCATGTTTCAGTAGTGAAACAAAGTCAGTTTTAGTTTCATAGGCTTGGTTTGAGAACCATTTCTCAGTGACAGAATAACATAGTGGTTTGTTTGCCTTGACAGTGTCAGGTGTAGCTCTAGGACAGGGAACAAAATAACTACACCAATCAATCTGCAAGACAAGCATGAAACTATCAGGACACATATGATGTACTAGAAAGATACGGACTGTATCCTTCTTCATCTCCTTTATCCGCTGTATATGCTGATACAGGAAATCCAAAAAGGGACATTATAAAAAAAATCACCACACACAGGTAGTAAATCCCCATTGTCTTGACCTGAGGAGCCTCACACCCCCACCCGGCTATCCCGTTTTCTGGCCTGAGAGATCGCATACTTACAGAGGATAATCTCATTAGTGTCCAAGAGGGGAGAGAGGCCAAGCACTGGCCTGTATTTGTAACACCAGCACAGATGGTGAATCACATGACCTCTGGAAGAAGAGTGTGTTGGGTATATAGGCGTGTCATATGTACGTACAAGAGGTCAGTGACAGACTGGGACAATGGACAACAAAACATTCAATAGTTTGTTCCACAGGCTTCCATTTCAACAGAGTAGACCGGCTAACAGCAAGAACTATTCTTTGTTCCTCTGTGTGTGTGTGTGTGTGTGTGTGTGTGTGTGTGTGTTGGGTGCATGGGGAGTTACATGTGTTGCTTGAAAAGAGCAACAGTGAAGCTGCTTCACTTCTGTTAATAAATAGTGACATCACTTTCCCCTTACAGTAGTGGGGCGTCATGTAGAATAATATATTTTTCAGTTACCAATCTTACGATGTGCCCCCCCCCCCCTTTTACTGGGAGGGGGTCAAGAGTAGGACACTGATTTCTTTGAAGGGGTCACGAGCCACAAAAAAGGTTGGAAACCACTGTCTTGCAAGGGCACAGTCTCTCAATTTGCTTCCAAAAATAGATGGAGGTACTTGCCGTGAGCAGGAGACGCCTTGATATTTGCAAGCTTGGGCTTCTTTCATGTTTGTGCTTCGCTTGGTAAACATTAACAGAGTTCAATGCCAGCCAAAGTAGGATTTCCATCTACGCCTGTTTTTAAGTAATAATCAGAGCTAGGCTGATTTAGGACATGTCATAATTCTGTGATTTAGAGAGATCATCAATAGTCCAGACAGAAATCATTTTCAAGCTCCATGTGCAACAACATGCAGGTTTTTCTTGTTTCACTTTTGATTTCAGCTTACTGTCTGCGCCGAGATCCACTTACAGACAATAGGGGTTTGACAACTATGTTAGCACGCAAGCTAACTCGCTAAATGTCAACTGGGGTTGTCATGAATTGCATCAGTTACATGCAGCCAACAACGGCGTGTGAATATTATGTCAAAACATCAACTTTCTAAAAAAAAGACTGGACTTTTTGTCTGTAAGTTGTACAGTGACAGTAGATGTGGGGTTTATTGCATCACTAGCTTACTTTTGGTTTTCTACCCCCCTACTACGCCTTGCTACAAGAGCTGAAGGAAGGGGCGCCTAAAGCCCGCCCACACAAGGAACAGAACGCACTCTCAGCCAATCATATCAAAGCTTTGATAAGAAATGCCGCTTCTAACCAATAGGATAAAAGCAAGTGGGCGGGACAACTTCCAGCGATGGCTGTCTGTCCCGACTGCTCGCCGAGGCTTTAGCTTGCACTCGCTTTGCTAAAGTGTACAGGAATGTGACATATTTTCCTCCGCTATGCTGATAAGCCTGCCTTACCCGTCGTCAAAGTGGTGATCTTCATTTTCACAGTCGCTGCAGTGTCCGTGGTCCTCTACATCTTCTTTCTCCGGCATCGGTGCTGTCTCATTCTCATCCGCCATCTTCAACCAGGAAGTGAGGAGGCACCGCGTGCCATCGATGGCTTTAAACCTCTCTCAACGCGATTGGCTGAAAGCTTTGACGGAAATATCTCTTTCTGTTGTCTTGTAACGTTAGTGGGTGTTTCCAAGAGGTTGCAATAAACACAAGTTCATAATGGAGTGGTGATGGTTTGTTATTTTCTTATATATCTCATGACCATAATGGGAAGTTTGAGATTTGGTGGATCTCTTCATGCACACAAACACGATCAGAGCCATGTGATCTACATTTGTCCCAAAGGCTAATTCAAAGACAGGAAGCACGGAGGGGATTTGCATGGTGCAAAACAAATTTCTGGTATTAATATATACAAATGTAAAGTGATAGAAATGCTATGGTTTCACTTTTTAATAAGACCCCCGGAATAAAGTGGTTGGAATTAAAGGCTTTATTACTGGTTAATTGTTTTATGAATGCTTTATATAGAGCATACGTTTTACACATTAAAGGATAAAACGGACAGGTACTTACTTACTAATAAAAAGTAATTTTTTTTTAGAAAGGTTCAATAATTTCCTGAAATAGCTGGGGGTTTTTTAGCAAATCTCTCTCAAACAGGAGTTAACTGGGGGACTATTTGCAGCCTATTTTCTGATAAAAGCAGTTGGATATAGTACCACTTTCAAATGAAACACCCTTTTTAAAGTGGTTGGAACTAAAGGCTTTATTACTGGTTAATTGTTTTATGCATGCTTTATATAGGCTATAGGATTCATTTTTGGCATTAAAGGACAAAATTGGCAATATTATTTATTTTTCATGTCAACAAAACCCATGGAAAGATGAAAATCAACGTGTTACTGCAGTACCTGCTGACGTCCTTATCCTGTCTGTGGCACGCAGACCTGCATGCCCCATATCGTTCCTTCTAAAGAGGTAGCCTATTAACTCACAAATATATAGTTTATTTTCTGAAAAGCTGGCCACTGTGGTTTTTAGCAATGGTCTCTTAAACAGGAGTAAATTATGTTTCTGGGGACTATTTGCAGCTGTGGATATGGTCCGCTATTCCAGCAGCAGGATGTTGTATTTTGGATTGACTCAAAATTGCCCATGTTTATCTGTAGGGACATGTCACACAGTGAAACAGTATGGCTTACTCATGTGTTGTTGGACAATTATGGAGGCCTATGGCACAGAGGCACACAGACAATGGTCCTTTAGTGGACCAAAATATGTTCTAATTAATGTGTTATTACTGGGATTTGATAACCATAAATAAAGCCATTATTTACAACTCTTCATAAAGATGCCCTATAGAGCTTTGACACACACAGTGTGAGCCTGAATCCAAGTCCATCAAAAACCTTTTATTCATTTTCAAATAGAGAAAGATAGCCCTGAGGTAGGCAAGATAGCTAGGAATGTTTGGTGAATGAAGCACAGTGTAATGCCACTTGTTTTAATTTTATTACACAGTGGTATAGTATAGTGTCCTACTTTATTTTGGCCTTGGCCTACATGTAGATCACTGGTCATCTGGATCTCCTATAGCTTGTCAGCTTGCAAGGAGTTTAGATGTTCATAAGGTAAACACAAATTAAATGCACTACCAATGTAATGTAGACATATTTCTCTATGTCTTCCTGTGCAACCCCCATCCCCCAATACACACACACACACTCTGTTTCAAACAAAGCAATAAGGGGGCTCACACAGCAATGTGTTATTAGTGCTTTTATGAAAACGGTATTTTCTCTAACACACATAATACTAACTGCCATTCACACAACATAGGCTATAAGCTTTCAAAATGCAAAGTCATCAACATTTGCTACATGCTATTGCAACCCATCCTGATCATATCTGTAATTAAAGTAAACCCTGTGCAGAACCTTTCATTACGGCACCATTTTATTATTAGGGAACCTCTTTATAAGAGTATTAAATGATTCACTGTAGCCTACAGTAATTGGTGGTTGTAATTTTTTAAGATCTAAATCTAAGGACCTGGCAACAAAAATAATTACTCAAGGTTGTCAAGAAGCCCACAGGCAAATATCCTAAAAACACAATTTGACTCACATCCTTATTTTAAAGTGTGAAGTGATGCAGACGCAAATACAACAATTTAACATTTTAAAAACATAAGTAAACATCTATCTGCAAGTCAGTTATCTGTACATTTCAAGTTCATTTGTAAGTTGTGAAAATAAATTGTTATTTGTCTCAGAAAATAAAATCTTTCTCCTGAGAGAAATTAAAAGTGCCAAGTATCTGATAAGACTATCTACCGTAAAACTTCAATTAAAAGCCTAGTCCCAATCAGCCTGTCCCTTTTACTGGCCTGGTGTGGCTTCATGTTTTCACAAATAAACACAGGTCTCAATTAGACCCCTTTTATAGAATTTCTTTGGTTGTAAAAAAGCCTCTTAAAGCCCACCGGGTCACTCGCTTGAGCCAGTTCTGTTAGTTTGTACATACAAATGTTTAAACTTTTCTAATTATGGACATATGACACATCGTAAGATTGGTAAGATTCTCCACAATTTAGTCGTTTAGTTCATTTTTCACAAACAATGAGCAGCAAAGTATTATTCAACAAGAAAGACAGGGAAAAAAGTGGCAACTCACTACTTTTAAAAGGTCATAAAGCCAGAATATGTGTCCATTCCTTGATGATTCCTACCGTTCTCTCTCTCTTAATGCGCATGAGGTTGGCCTAAATGCACTGTCTCTCAGAGCTAGAGCAAATGAATGATTCATAATTAATATGTTATCTGATCAAATGTTTTATACAATACTGGTAAATAATAGTAGGCGAGTAATACATGCCAGTTTAAATAAACAGCCTATTTACCATCTCTGCTGAGCAAGAGTTTTGTTGCGAAAGGAATTAAAGGCCTGTTCCAAATAGACGGCTGTCCTAATTATAGGCAGTGTGATTTTAGGGATTGAAGCAAATACAAGTCCTGGCTATTAATTGAAGTTTTACAGTAAATATTGATCATCGAAACATTATTACGTATTTGTAAAACAGTAATATATCATTTTGTATTCACAGCCAGTCACGCAGTCATTCCTACTTAGTGCTTATGAGGCAGCCTCAGTTAAGTAAGTGCTTTTTTTGTTTAAACTATTCTCACTCTTTTAAGTTTAAGCCAAATATTAAGTGTAAAAATGTTAAAATAATTCTCAAATCAAAACATATAAAAGGACGAAATAACACATCGGCTCAAAAGATTAAGAGAATAACCTAGACACACGAGTTGAGAACATTAAAATTAATTTTGTAACCAGTCCTATATCAGTATGTTTCATGAACCACAATACTCAGTGCTCTGTTTCCAGAGCACTCAGCACTGACGAGACTAGATACTCCCACAGTGTATCATGGATTCATTATCTAGCCCGGGGCAATTCATTTGCTAAGAGCCAGCGCACTTCTGCATTTCTGATAAATGACATCTTTCTCCCTGCATTGGGAAGTGGCTCAATGTAAACTGCACCACTTGAGGTCTGGACTGGGAGACCGGCTGGCAGCAGCAGTAGTCTCTCTCTCTCTCTCTCTCTCCTCACATTTAGAGCTCCTTTTCCAAAGCCCTTTGTTGTCAGCTTTCACACCTTGTTCAGATGCCCATCATGGCTTGCCTTTGGCAATGGCTATATGCTCGGCCACAGTTTTGATGGGAACTCCTTTGCGGATCACTTTGACATGGATGAAGAGTGTGGCGGGGGATAGACTGGAACCATCTGCCTTCAATAAATGAACATGTCGATAACCTGAGAAGAAAGAGTATGTTACTCAAATTTTAAACAACATGCCACATTGATGACTGTTCTATAATATGTACAGGGGATCTTTACAAGCACCTGTTCGTAGGCTTGTGAAAGGTACAGTAAACTGCCCCACAAAGTCATTTTTGGCAGTGTGATCATGGTCCTCCACTACAAATCGCACCAGAGCCAATTCAGGGACTTGCAACTGGAAGCTCAGAGTGCAGTCCCATCGTGGGTTAAAACCTGTAGAGGGCGCACAAGAGCTGTAAATCCATCATCCAGTATCCTCTACCTTTTAAACAAACTAATCGTGCTGCTTAATTCTGTCAAAAAACAGCAATAATTGGTTTTGAATAAAAATACAGTATTCACTCTCCTTAAAACATTCACAAAGGTAATATATGAGGTTGACACTTTATTGGTAATGCTTTATAGTGAATAATGAAGTCTGAGAATTACCATTGTTGTCAATGCGCTGGGTTTTATTTCTTGCATTATCAATAGCCACCCCATGAATTTCCACCCACACTTGTGGGTCCACAATGGAGCTGGCCTTCTCTGTGTTGATTTTTGGCAGCTGCTGTGCAGATATAATCTGAAAAACAAAATGTAATCAGTCACTTTTCATATCAATTTTATTTGTGTAGCTCACAAACACACATATGAAGGGCCTCACAATCTGTTCAGCATATGACATTTCAGATAAGGACCCCCCCCATGCCCTCCCCCAAAAAACAAAAAAAAACAACAAATATTTAACAGGCAAAACCGAAGAAATCTCTGATGGGAGAGGAGGGACACCTCGAACACCTTGCAGGATGAATGGACATGCAATAGATGTCGTGTACAGAGAAACAACAATAGTAAAATCACACTACGGTGAAACAGAGAATACTAGTTACATAGGCCACAAAAAAAGAGTATTGATCTAAATAAACAAAGTATGTCAGAAACTAAAAACCGTGCTCTACAATGTAACATCCAATTTTAAGATGGATTTACACTGTTGTAGCACTGTTGCTCAACGTTACCACTCACTCGTATAGTCAGCTGAGTGGGGACGTGACCGGGGCCTCCTCCCGTGTTCTCTGGGTTAAAGTTGGACGAGCGGCTGCGCAGGAAGCTCGGTTTGAGGATGTATCCACAGCGACCATTGGGGAGGAAGCGGCCCTGGTTCAGGTCCATCTGCTCCCCTGGTGTCTGGAAGTTCAGAGCCACTGCACAGCACAGAGAGTGGAGTCAGTGAATCACACGGAAAGCCTCATCACACATTTCAGCATCACTGAAGGCTGGGTGACATGAATGCTTTGTGATGTAGCAGCAATTTGTATACATGAGAGTCAGTACAACATTTCTTTGGCACTTACTGACCACATAATGTTTTTCAAATGAATTGCCTCAATTTGCCGCCATCATATCAGCATCCTAGCTTCTAGTGTGGAGTACTAACCCATCTGGCAGCCGCCGTTCCACATTTCCTGAGGATCATAGTTGGATGATTGGAGCCGCTGGCCGGAGGGGTAGATCCGGCTCAGCTGCCTGCTGTTGTGTCTCACAAAAAGCTTTCCTGCAAGTGAAAAGATCGAAAACTGCATGCCATGTTACACTGGAGGCTGATTATATTTTCTGTAGAATCAGCTGCAGTAAAGCAATGTCATAAAATCTTTTTGACTTTTTTTTCTATAATGTCAAGATGCAATTGTTTCCACTGTTGTACCTGAGTCCTTGATGAGCTTTAGGGCTTCACTTTCAGAGAAGGAGGACAATTCATTTGGAGGTTTTTCAGAAGCATTTTCAAACCCACTGAAGGGGACACTTCTGCAGTACACCACCAGCTCTGATAGCTCCGGGCTCAGTTTAGCACAGTCCTGGGAAGAACAAAGGCAAACATAATTGGTTGATTAGGTTCATTTTAACAGCTTCTCAGGCTTCTTCGTTCTCCTGAACTGACCTTTGCAGGATCCTTCTTAGGTGTGTTCTTATTGCTGCTTGCTGGTTCATCCTCAGAGCTTGAGGAGAAGCTGGCACAGCTGCCATTCTTGCCCAGCTGGCCCAAGTGAGGAATCAGCTTCTTCCCTTTTATCAGAATACGCCCCTTCAGCTCCTGCAACAAAGGTCATTGGAAAAAATTATTTAATCAGAAAACCAGACAGCCAGAGGCCTTTGAAGGGATCCAGCTGTGTGTGTTGTACCTCAGGAGAAGGAAGATCCTTCTGTGGCTGGGCAGAGAGGGGCTTGGTGAGCAGTTTGCTGCCCAAGATGGTGCGGAGGTGTTTGGCCATAACAGCCTGCTGCTCCAAAGAACAGTGGTTCTCCACAGACAGGATTAGAGGATATGGGGACGCCTAAAGAGAGAAACACAGGAAAACATGTAAGCCAAGCCATTAAAAAACATCACATAATAGCAATACAGGACCTTACACTCGAATGCTTTTGTATGTCAAAGCCAAAATACCACAGGGTTGTGTCAGAGCCAAGTAAGCAACCACAAGAAGTGCAGTAGGCTGTGACAGCGAGAAGTCAGGAATCTGGATTTGTTTACTGACGGACTACTTGCGTATTTCATAGTCAGGCACGAGGAGCTTCAAACATACTGTCATAGCTGAGGATTTACACCATCAGATCAAGCTCCTCTTACCTTGAAGGCGTACTGGTCGATGGTTTCAATGACCTCTTTGAAAGGCACTTTGGAGGTGAGAGTGTGGCCGTGGTAGATGACAGGTTCACCTTTATCTCCATCCCAGCAGTCCAGCTCCACACAGCGACAGCCCTGATTCAGAGCCCTGTCAGTGAAAAACACATAATTAATCTTACACCACAGGATGATCATACAAACTACGATAATCTAAAGTTTTTTATGATAAAATATGTGCTGTTTTAGGATGTTTAATGAGTCCTGAGAGATACCTGATGTATGGCTCAGTGCTGCTGGCACTGGTGACTTGGTCCTTGGTAAGGTAGGTGTTGTGTGACGAGGAGATGAAGTAATGGGCCAAAGGGTGGCTCATGTCCTGGTAGACTCTGGTATGGTCAGGGTTAACCACATCATTCTGCTGGGACAGCATGTACATGGTGAAACCATTCTGGGTCATGAACTGGTTCTTCTGGGCTGCAATAAATGGCAAAGTGTTTCCATCAAGTCAGTTTTGTTTTAGTGGGTTTATCAACAAATCTGGTGAGAGTTGAATTTAAGGGTTTAAACAACATCTAGGACGGGGGTTACATGGACAAACCTCCTTCTCTCAGTCTAGGATAAAAAATGTACGTGGCTTCTTTTATGAATTATTTTGACATCATTTGTGCTACTGTTACAATAGCTTAGCATTTTAGCTAAACGCTATAAAGTAGCTTGGCATTTAGCATTCCCACATCCCATAATTGTCATATAGTCTTGCTTTAATGTCTTACAGGGTGTGTTTTAAAAAAGACTTTAACCTCTGTTGCATATTTTTGTTTAGTTTTTTATGTCATAGCCCATATACAGTATATATACAGTATATAGATATGACTGACATTGTAAAAATTGTTTTTTATCATTTACTGTACAGGTACAGGTTATCAGTAAACATAACTTATTTTTTTTGATTGATTTGAACTCATTCAAATAAATAGAACTCAAAATCACTACTTTGACACCCTTTTCCTTGGATATTCTAATTTTTGTGGGTGGCATTTTGTTTTGTTTTTCAGCAACTTAGGCTACCATTGCTCATTGTAACTACTTATTTCTTCCTTAAAACAAACCACTCTCACTTCCGCAAACATAAACTATATTAAATTATTGTGCATAGGGCTGGTCGATATGGCCAAAAATGTTATCACGATAAAAACATTTCATATCATTCGATATCGATAATTATCACGATAAATGTCATTATTTCTTTAAAGTTTAAACGCTGATTTATGCTCCTGAGTGAAAGTCAATTGTGGTTAAACTTTTCTTTCTGGTCACTACAAACGCTTGATGCAATTTTCTTTCAAAAAAGATGATTAGTAAATCTTTTTTCAGTCCCTTTTTTCTCAACAAAATAAATATTTTAATAGAAAAATTAAGTGCTAATTAGTTTGTGATTCAAATGAATTAAATCAAACATTCAATGACGATATAATGAACATTTATTCTATTGTTCTTGAGGAAAATTATATTGCAATAATTATTAATAATTATTTTTGTTTTATTTCCCAGCCCTAATTGTGCAGCAGCCTCAGTTTTTAAATAGCAAATGCTTTCACAGGTACAGGCTGAATCATTATGTTCTCAGGAGACAGTATCAAAAGGGACATTCACTGTGTTTCTATGAAAATGGTATGGGTTCTTCCCTGAAAGCCTTTAATGAGCGCTTTTAGGACATACCCCAGTCATTGAGCTCATAGGTGAGTATGAGGCGCTGAGCGTGATTCAATGAGGCGTCTTCTCCTTGGTCTCCCAGGAAGTCACGCAGCTCAGCAGTGGCGAGCACACAACCATTACTCGAATAGTGTCTGAATACGGCATCCAGCTCAGGCCGTCGCAGCAGCTCCCTGCAGAACTCCTCAATCTCTATATGATCCAGACGACCATCGCCGGATCGGTCACACCTCTGGCATACAGGGAAAGGGATCAAGTCAAACAATCTAACACACACTGAGAAAGATAGACACATATCAAACTGAGCATGCTTTTATTTTGGGAGTGCTTCAAATTCCCTGTGGGGAAAGCATCTCCATAATAATTCATCCCATCTGTGCAAAGCACAGCATAAAAACCAACAATTCAGCTATAATAGAGAGCTGAGGGACATAGCAGGCAGAAATCCCCCACAATAAAGAAATAACTGGCTCTTGATTTGTTGTGGAGAACAGGAGGGAAGGGATAAAGATGTGGAGGGGAGCTGGTGGTTGGTCCGCCGCGGGGTTGGTAATTGAACACAGACTGCAGAATCCAGGGTGTCACAATAAACTAAGAAAAATATCACCAGCTCTACACCAGCTCTACATCTCTGCACAGTAACTCCTCTCTTCTTGCTTTTTTTGCTTTCAGTATTCAGCTCATCTAAATTACATCTACTGACCATAAACTATTTTACAGGTGCTAAAAACTGACACAATGTACATATGATGACGCTGACCTTGAATAAAGAGCGGGCATACTGCTCACTCAGGTCAATGTTGATCATCTGGAGCAACCGTTTGACCTCATCGTAGCTCATCTTGCCATCCTGATTCTGATCTGCTCGCTTCAGGTAGCATCGGATCCAAGTGTAGAGGATTAAGGAATAAAACCAGAGTAAAACCTAGAGACTACAGTCAAACAGTTATGGCAGTTTTTGGACAGATAACGTGCAGAGTGACACTTAAATCTCACAAATAACTGGATTATGCTTCCTGATGTGGATGTTGTTGTCAAGATAGAAGCATTAGAGAGTCTTTAATAAGCTCCATTCTGTCGTACTGCAGCTTTTTATTTGCTATTCAACCACTTGACACCTACTGTTTGCCCTGGATGGGGTTGTGGTCCCACCCCAGGTTTCTTTTTTTCTTTCCTTCCCTGCCCACATGAGAGGGTTTTGTTTGAAGTAAAAGTTCACAACACTCACTTCCCCAGTACACTGAAGTGGCATTGAAAGAGTTATTGGTTGCTGTAATCATCAGGGAAAATGCATTTTAAAGTTCAGTCGTATAGCTAGTATAGTTTCAACAAAAACTGAACAGCTAGGTCTAGCTAATGACTGGCAACTGGGTGCATACTGAAAGGTATAATCCAACTTTTGTTGATGCCATGACCTTGTGTGTTGCCTCAAAGTATCAAATAAATATGAATAAATATTACAAATAAATTAAATTATAAACACCACTGAACAGGCCCTTTTGTTGGGAGTGGTGCATTTACAATGTTTGGTGACATCTAGCTCTTGTTTCTATGCAGGTAGAATGCAATTATTGTAAGTCACTTTGAAAAAGTTGATAGCAACAAGACACTTATTTTAGTTTGTCACCTGCCTATAACACAGAAAACCACCTAGGCTACTATATGTTTACAGTGTGAAACATATTAAACGCTGTATAAAATAATTACCCTGATGATTTACCACAACACTAAAAATAGGGTAGAGAAGCAGAGATGATCGTAATGTTACACTCTACCTGACGCGTAGACTCATGTTGTCTTCACGCTATGAGAGATTGTAATTAACAGTGATAGTCAGACTATATTTAGAAAGGGTTTTTTTAACTAGTCATTACAGCTCACCTTAGCTATGCTGTGGACGTGGGACGGCACATGTGACAGTGCTGCCTCAGCTACACTATATTTATTCTAGCTTATTGGAAATTGGAAAGGATATTGGTCCAGTTTTTCATTCTGACTCATGTTGGCCACGTAATCCTTCAAAGTGCGGAGCCCTCGCACCCAGCGCTGAGCTTCATCCTCACAGGTACACAGCAGGTCCAGGCTCTTCCTGGCTCCTCTGAAGATCACTGTGAAGCACTGATTCTCCGACACTGATCCAGACAGAAGCCTCAGCGCCTCGGACTGGCAGCCTTCACGCACACACTCCACTTCTGTCACTGCGACTGGAAGAGGAGAGGGTGAAGAAAAAGAGAGGGAAGAAGAGTTCAGACCAAAAGAGTTCTTGTGTTATTGAGTAAAAAAATGATAAATTTGGGACAGTTCCAAATTACGACCAGTTGTCCCCCGGCAAAGTCTGTACCGAATTTTACATATTGTCATCTGATCACCCTACACACTTCTCGACAGGATAATTTTAACCTGCAACTTTATGGGTTAACAGCACACATACTGACACACGAATGAACGCTGGGCCTTCATTTTGTGCTCTTTCTGCTGACAGTTAAAGAGCAGGGCCTTTTATATATTTACAATCTCATCGCGGTGGCTGCACAGGATAACACAGGAGGGTTGATATTCAAATAAATAAAAACAAGACTAAAGAGTCTTCAGTCTCTGTTTGGCTTCGTTAGCTAAATGCTTACATGCTCATAATGAGATGTTAAGCAGGTATAATGGTTACCATGTTCGCCGTCAAAGTTGAGCATGCTAACATGTGCTAATTAGCATTTCACTAGCAAGAACCATACAATCAACAGATAACAGATTAAACTGGGCATAATGGACCCCCAAAATCTTCCAGTTATGTGAGAGCACTAGTTGATCTGAGATCTTTGAGATCTGAATGAATGTGATCATGGTATGCTTGGAATGACCAGTGTGATATGTATCAAGTGCTCAGGAATGGAAAGGAGGCTGAGAGGGTAGCTCGCATACTGAAGGATTGACCGGGGTAATGGATGGGAGAAAGCATGACTCGCGCCTGCCGGAAGAGGTGGTGGCACCAGGAATGGAAAGGCCACTGGAACCGATTCGGAGACGATCTGAAGTTGCTGTACTCTGGGATTCCAGAGTTGCAATTGGTTCACGAGGGTCTTGTAAGGGTTCAGGGTCACTGGACTCCGGAGAAAAGATGGGTGTAAGCTGGCCCGATTTATATGGAATGAGTCTGAATTGCAGTAATGACGCCGAAGGTCAAGATGAAGGGAAGATGCAGTGAAGTGAAACCCAAGAGCAGGTGTGGATGCATGCCGATGAATGAGATATGGTGGCGAGATCGAACGATCACATTGTACTAGTTGTGACGTGGCGGGAGCTCTTCAAGCTGGCCTGTAGCAAGAGAGAGGGCTATGCTGTTAGTGGTAAAGTTTGGCGACTATTCATCTATCCTGCAGCAGCAAAGGCCTTGGCATCCTGGTGCCGAAAGCATCCTGGTGCCGAAAGCCCCTTCTAATAGTAACAACTGTTCCCTCGAGACAACTTTTGTTTGAAACGTCACGTTCACTTGACCATTGGATGCAGTCAGGTTGGCAATGACTGGGAGTGAGCCGCGATGAGCTCTGGCATCCCGGTGCCGAAAGCCCCTTTTAGGTCGAACAACTCAAAATGATTTCAGCTTGAAACGACTGACGAAGGTCTGTTTGCTTGAATGACTTTAGACTATTTGTTTGTGACAAATTAAGCTCGAAACAACTTGAACTCGAACACTTAGTTCGAAACACCTGTTAGCTTGAAAAGACTTTGGATTGAAACAACAGTCTTTGGATTGAAACAACAGTCTAGATGAAATGACTGTTGGCTAGGTGATAGCTCGAAAAGGCTGTTAGCTTGACGTCTGCTTGAAACGACTGAATGCTCAACGTGAGCTATGCAGAATGCGAGAACGAAGAAGAGGATATGGGACGTGTGGGTATTTATGGAAATGCTGGCAATGACGTGATTGATGTGTGTTCCTGCTCCTGAAACTCTGCTAATTAGCTCCACTAAATACAAAGTACAGCTGAGGGAATGTAATTAGTTTTGCAGATATTTAGTCATTTTTAATTCATGTTTAGACATAAACCAAAGTAGAGCTGTATGATTAGTTGATTTATTGATTAGTCTATTTTCACAATTAATTCATCGTTTCACAAATCTTTCAAGCAAAAATGCCAAATATTTGCTGGTTACTGCTTCTCAAATGGGAGAATTTGCTGCTCGTTTTTTCTTTTTGGTTTTGGACTGCTGATCAGATAAAACATGCTATGTTCATCCATCACTTTGGATTCCGGGAAGTTATGATGATTGTTGACTTTTTTTTTTGTTTCATAGACTAAATGATGAATCACTTACTCAATAAATATGTAGATTATTCAATAATGAAAATAATCATTAGCTGCAAACCTAAACCAAAGTATCGGAAAAGACATTTTGATCTGGTGGTACTGGGTGAAATGTTAGCAAGTCACCAAAGTATTTAGGATTTGTTTGTCTGGGCACTATGCATGTGTGTATAAAATAGACTGAAAAATATTTCAAGTGGTGGACTGACAGACCAAGTTTGCCATTTTGCCAAAACAGTTGAGATTTCTTCAACTTAATGTGATCTGTTTATCTCATATTTGCAGAGCTCTGGGCAACACTGATTGCTATGAAAAAGACAGCCAAACACAAACACACGCTGGCTACTGGCTGATCCAGAGGAGCTCGTCTTGTTCTGCACTGGGATGTGTGTGGCCATCTCTCAGTTGGGTGCTAAGCAGTCTGCCCTGACAATAGCCTCATTCTCTTGCTGAAGGTCATAAAGCCTCTGCAGACCACCTCTTCAAAATTACTTCACATTCCTCCTTTGTGGTTATCCCAGAGACATGGCAAAAGTGGCATGCATGTGTGTGTGTGTGTGTGTGTGGTTTAGAAAGCAACAGTAGAAGTGTTAATTATTGGATTTTGTGCCAAGTGCTTTTTGAGCACAAGACACAGCATGAAATATAGGCGTCATATCACACTGGACCTGGAGATCTGCCTGGAGCTCAGCCAAGCGTTCATCCCAGATTCACACAAACACACGCTTAAACACACACAGATATGGTCGTCAGCAGCTTGCCAGTGGCATTATCACTATCTTCCCTCACACTGCTTGTTGTCATTATTGTAAGGAGTGTTACACGCTGCAATTCGACCACTCTGTGTCTATTTCTGGCGAGGCTGCAGCACAATCAAGACGGCCTTCACCACCCGCTGACCTGCCCCACCACCCACCCACGCTCTCCGTAAGGCCAGCGGGGGCTCACGTTAAACTGTGTTGCAACATCAGCGCAGACAGCACAAACGTGGCGAGACGTGGGAGAGCTAAACATCAAGGAGCAAGGAAGAAAATCTTCTGAGCATTTATAGTGTTTTTATGATTAGCACCCCAATCAGATGTAAAGTCTCTGTCTTTCTGTTTTATTGACTCCTCCAGGCATTTGTGTTCCTGTAATTTAGGCCACCAGTGTAACTCTGAGATGCTGCGATAGCGGACGCTGTCAAGACATCCTACTGACATCCTCAACTTCATTCCCTGAATAAATTCATTAAAGATATTGCCATGCATTATGGGCTTCACCTTTCACTATAATTTTATAATTTCCCTCACGCATGATGCCTTAAAAACACTGAGAGTATTAATTCACCAAAATAAATTGAATTGAAAAACAAAACACCATTTAAACAGCTTGTAAATTTAATATAGGAAAACTAATCTTGTTTTTCAGCCTGTTAACCTCCTGGAGTTTGTATGCTAATGAGAAAGACGGCAGGCTGAGATTTAAATGGGAATAGTATTTTACAGGATGTTTTCAGCCAACTGCAAGCCCGGCCAAGTAAACAGCATTCCAACCTACCTGCCAGATCTTGGTTTCTATCAATTGTTTTTTGTTTCTGTTTCCTGTTATCTGCTGTAATAGAACCCATTGATCTCACTTCTTTTTTGTGTTTTACACTGTTTCCCCTTTTTATCCACATGCAAAGGTCTCACTTTTGACCAGGCTGAAGGTTTTTCCAATAAACACGGTTTCACCTAAGAAGACACTTCACTACTAGATATCAAAGCCACCCTTGCACAATTTTTGTTGGTCCCTTCCTCCTTGGTCACTGCAGACAGTTTCGCTGTGAGATCCGCACTTTACACGACAGCTTAGCAAAGCAGAAGTGAGCCAGCATGCTGTACCTGACTCCTCACAAGTCTAGGTATACTATAATTATGAATTGTTACATAAATTACGTGTTGATTACATGATTATTTATTAGCCAGGTTGCAGAATCTATGATTAGTTTCCTTATTCACAAGGGAAACAAGCAACCACTTTAATGAGGCAAACTAGAGGAGAGGTCATGAGATAAAGCCAAGATAAAACAGCTCAACAACTCCAAACAATAAGCTGGCTGAATGAGCGCTCTGACTCACATCCCAGTCTGTACTGGACTGGTTGAAGGCCTGCTGGTTTGTTTCTACATTAATCCCCTGTAGATAAGCTTCCCTCCAGGCAAAGCCCCTTTCTCCTAATCTGATATCGCTTAAGTTTCCACTCTTTCCATAGTCGAAGACCAATTCCTATTCATGAGCACTCTCACTTTCAGAGCTCCATTTCCTCCTCAACCCTCCTCTCTTCTTAAAACTAACTCCCTTTTCCACCGTAAATCCTCACTCCTGATGATTAGTATGCTCAAGCCAGCCCACACACACCAGAGATGCTCACAAGTCTTTGAGCTAGAGTCCAAGTCAAGTCTCAAGTCTCTGAGCAAGAATCCAAGTCAAGTCTCAAGTCTCGTGGTTATTACGAATGTTTTATCACCTGCTGCGTTCAATCCAGGTTGCTAATAAAACTTCATAGCTGTAAGGAATACTGTTAAACCTATTTTTCATTTACAGAGCACAACCATGTAATGTGCAATGCAATTAATGACAGCTTATTAAATACTGTAAGTCAAAAAACCCTGTTGAAACCAAGTGTAAAGTTAACTAAATAATACTGTAAAGTTACAACAATAAAGCTGTAACCTGTTTTTAACTTACAGAGCACAACCATAATGTGCAATGCAATCAATGACAGCTTAAACTACTGTAAGTCGACACACCCTGCAGACTCTCAAACCAGTGTAAAGTTAGGCTATAACTAAATAAAACTGTAATGTTACATGATCAACAATAAACCTGGAACCTCTTTCCAGCCAACGGCAATAATTAACCTGATGGCAGCCAGCGGGACGTAAATGATTACGTTAACTGACCACCACAAGTTTGGCAAGTAAACTCAAGTCGAGTCTCAAGTCTTTTGAGGACGAGTCTCACGTCGAGTCTCGAGTCACTGTGTGTGCGACTTAAGTCGCACTCGAGTCCGAGTCTCTGACACACACACACACACACAGACACAGAGACACAGATTTTAGCAATACTTACATGTCTGCTGGTTTTTTGCTTTGCGGGAGCTCTTTGTGGACTCGCACCACACGGTGAGTCCGTCTTCCAGCAGCCGCAGGTTGCGGCTCTTCTGCCATCTCTGAGAGCGGACCTTCACCATGTTGGAGCCCTGCATCATCATGCGAATGTCCTCATTGTCCAGCAGCCCTGGACACACACACACACACACACACACACACACACACACAAAACAAACGTTTTGTGGAAGTTTTAATGTAAAAATAAACTGATTCAGTTTGACATCAGCAAGTATGACTTGGCCCTGTGCTGTTTTATTGTGACGACAAACAGACTTAATGTAATGAGTCTAATGAGGTTCATCAGAAGTTCATACTGTGTCGAATGAACTGTGTTCATACAGTCGCCCATCTTCCCTATCTTGTCACATTGTTGGCAAAGTCTATATCACATAGCAAAATGAGAAAAACGCTACAGTTACAGTGAAAGATCCTTAAAGTATCACAAAAAAAGTCCCTGAGAATATGATAATAAGAATATGATAAGAAATACTTTAAAGTGCAATAATGTTTCTAAAACCTGACCTCTTAGTACCATAGAAACAAGGACGTCACTTTGTGTTGAAAACATAAAGGCTCAGATTAGGGGTGTGATGATAAACCTGGGTCAGAAGACCTCATGATGCAGAAGAACAAGATAAGAAGATTTTTAACACTATTTTGAAGAAATATTTGATGCTGAAATATATTAACGGGGGTCCTTCCCCACAAGATTTTGACCATTAAACTCGTAATTTTCTACATTTTCTGCTCCAATTTACAGTGAAACTATATTTAAATTGCATTGCGTTTATTATTTATTGTGCAAATAAACCTATCTCAAAGCATTGTCATTTGTTAGTTAATATTTCTTGCTGCTGTTTTTCAGAACATTTTTTACAAATGCTTTCAAAATGTGGTGGGGACATGTCCCCAGCATCCCCAGTGTAAATGACACCTATGCAAAGAAAGAAAATAACTTCTCTGAGGAATTTTGTAGTTATATTGTAGTTTTTTGTTGCTGTCTACAGCCATGCTAGCGGCTTTGTGAGGCTGTGATTAGCCACTACAGAGCTTGGAGCTAAATGCTACCATGCTCACCATCTTAGTTTGGCGTGTTAGCATGACAACGTTTTCTAAATAGCACTAAACAAAAAGCATATGAGGAATGTCATTCTTTTTACAGATATTTGGTCATAAACCATTGGACTATTTAAAATGTAGACTCTATGCTGGCGCAAGATGGCATGTTAAGCAATCACCAAAGTTATTATAATTTATCCTGATGGGGACATAAATTTGTGCACCACATTTCATGATTTCAATAGTGAGATTTCCCTCAAAACCACAAATGCAAACTTCATGGTGACACTAGAGGAGAAGTCAGAGGACCTCCCCTCCAAAATTAGGCAGCATGAATGCCAACACAACATTTTATAGCAATCCATCCAATAGTACAGATCAACAACTAACTAAAAAATAAAACCTTACAAAAGTCCTTACAAAAAAATTTAAAAATGTGTCAAAAGAAATACTGTAAGGTACAATCATTTTCTCAGTACTAAGTACCATAAAAACATTATAAGTCCCTTCAGGAATTCTGTAGTTATACTGGGATATTTTTGTTCTTGTCTGTCAGGTTAACTCAGGGAGTGAGGTATCTGCTCTGAGAGTCAACTAAATCATAGAACAGCAATATATCCCTGAAAAAAGACCGTGGCTGTATTTTTAAAGCTGACCTCACAAATATAGTCAACACTTTTCTTTTTTTACACCCTAAATGCAAGCTTGTGTTTTATACACAAACCTCGGAGGGAATGGCCAGAAGTTTATACTGGTCATAAAAAAGGTTTCAGTGTCATGGATTGTCTTGAAAACTGACTCTATGTTTCTCTATCTGTTTTCTTTCAGTCTAGACTTTTTAAATTCAGAATAAAGCTGAGAGAAATCGAATGCTGAGATGTGAATCTGTCATGATAATTTGTAGATTTTTTTCTCTCTTGGGGCAGCGGCAGGCCAACAGACAGCAGAAAAAGGAGTTACAGTGTAGAAAGTTTCAAAGTGTTTGTCTCACTGTACCATTAATACTGGTTCTTCCTAGCTATTACCATCAATGGAAATGTAATCAGGAAGTTAAAACAAATGCAGAGCCTCAGAACGGATTATGATTTGTTGTGAGCACTGAAAGGATCGGAGCATGGGAGACAGGAATAAGCAGGAAGCCTGAGGGATCTATAGCCATGGTGAACACACAATAAATGTTTCAGTTGACAGTCATGTGGTATCAGTGAAACAAAGAGATGAAAAAACAAGTAACTATGCAGTGTTTGGTGCATGTGCTATAGCTTGTAAAAATTAACAAAAAAGGTTTTACAATCGTGTACAAAGTCACTCACAAGGCCATTTGTACAAGAGCTGGACTGCATTAAATAGAGATTAAAGTAGGGCTGACACAATCTTTCACTTATTTATTTGTCAATCACCAGAGAGTTAATCAGCAACAGTGGATAATCATTATGAAATCTTTCTAGCAAAATGCCAAACAATCACGTCCCATTGGTTTCTTTTTGCTTTCCTCAAACATTTTATAGACCAAACATTTAACTGATTAATTACAAACAGAAACTGGCAAAATAATCAACAATGAACAAACTTGCTACAGTAGTTGCAGCTCTAGTTCAAAGCTATGTATGGTTTTGAATGGCAGAGTTGAAGTAGAAAGGACATGCAGGGAGTGTTTACAAAGTAGTTTCTCTGACTCTCATTCCATACTTCAAATATGACAAATGGGTCAGGGAGCAATCCAATACTGTGGAGTGGAGATTTTTGCATGAGTCAAACTTAAAATTATGTAAAATGTACTCAACTTTTTGTGAACAATTATTACAGTATTCCAGTTCTTGGGGGGCATTTCTGCAATTATTTGATAGAGTAGGTTTAGAGTTATCAAGAAATTGGTGGAGATAGAGAGTGTGAGGATGATGTGTATCAAAGGCCCTGAGCTGAATTTCACCAAGGAACAGGGAAGGACATTTTCTAATAACTGGAAAACGTTCAAACATTTAGGCTCAAAACTGGTTTGAAGGTCCTGAAAAAATGCAAACTTACATTTGTCACAACTTTTACTGTTAAAATGAAATGACAAAATATATATTTAAACGTTTAGTTAGGAACCGGATTATAGCAAACAGCTTTGTCTGCACAAGTATGCAACTCCAGCTTTACAGTACAAGTCTTCATAAAGGACATTCAGCTATGCCTCATTGCTTCTTTTGCAGGGATGAATGGAACCTCTCACAGGGAGTTTTCTCTTTCAGAACTGTTCAAAGGAGAAGTCTAAACAAACTCTAACTCATGTCAAAATCTTCTTCATGGCTTGGTCTCTTCTGCTCACTCCTGAAGATTTGTCCAGACACAGTGGGCATACTTTATTTCTCTTTGCCTTAAATCACAGGCATCACACTGTCAGTGCCAAATGGCTGACAAAGTTCCTCAGAGGACCCCTAAAGCTCTAACAGAAAATGCTCTTAGCCCCCACCCCCACCCCAGACTAGAGGCAAACTGGAGCTGTGGGTCTTGCCCATCAGTGTCGAACACAAAGAAATCCTACCAACCCTCCATCCAAAAGAAGCCTCTTTCTCAACGGCATTACCATGCAAGGAATTCTCAGAAGCAGAGCACATGGACTTCATTAACTGCGGGTCATTGACCCTGCTCAGCTGCTCAAACTGCCTTAACTGCCCAAACAGCCTTAACTGCTTCTGTCTCAGCTCATTACTTCACCTTTTATAATTGCCTCTCCTTCCTTAACCAAATTCTTGCCTTTCCACCTGCATCATTGTGATATCCAACCACAACAGAACAAGTGAGCACAAGTCTGCATGTGCGTGCCTTATTTTTCAATGCACATTCACATTTTGATACATTATACACTTCTGAAAGCCTATTCATAAGGGTTTAACTGGAAGGATGGGCATGATTATTTAGGCTCAACAGCTGAAATGTGTTTTCTTTTCATTGTCTCCTGCTGAACATCTGGTTGACATTCACTTCATCAGATGGCCAAAGCCAAGTATTTCAACACAGCACAAAAGAAAAACTTCAAAAGCGGCAGATTTAGCATTGTTGGAGGAAAAAAAGCACAACCATATTACCTGCCCCATGAGGCTTTACTTTAGCACAGCAGTGCTTTGAGCTTAATGCTAAGAGTCTGCATGCTAACTCGCTCACAATGGCAATGCTAACATGCTGATGTTAAACAGATATCACGTTTACCATCTTATATTAGCATGTTAGCATGCTAACATTTGTGAAATAGCACTAAATACAAAGTATAGGCTGATGGGAATGTCATAGTTTTACAGATTTGGTTAGAAATTAAAGTATTGGACAAATTAAAAATGTGACAATATATTGAAAGCTAAGGGATCCCCACAGTGAGTTCATCCTGTGTGGGACATGAATGTGTGTACCAAATTTCCTGACATTGAACGGTGGACATTTTACCTAAAAGTGCAAATGTGAACCTCATAGTGTTGGTGGAGGAAAAGTCAGGCAGTCATGGATCAGCAGTGAGAAAACAATAAACATTCAAATCAGTCCCATAAGGCATATTTCTCTGAGGGTGTATCAACAATGTTGAGCAGCGGGGACGCCTTCAAAACTGAGGAGAGGATCAGAAAGACAATAATCATTTCAGATGGTCAGTAATAGATTGTGTCTGCATGAGTCCTCTTCACTCGGGCCCACATACCAGCTCCTCCTGGAACACGGTTCATGTTTCTTTCAGCATAACCAGCCAGCTAGCTAGGATTCTACACTTGTATAAAGATAGACACTTAAAGGTGTTGTTGATATGATACGTGTGATGGGAAAATGTAATTTTCTAAGTTCATGAGAGGGCTCTGACAGAAGGGCAGTCCTCTGTACATCTTTCAGGTCCAGTCTTTAATGAAGGTTATGATATCCAGATGATCTGAGGAAAGCCTAACTACAACAAAAAAAACAACAACTTTGGAGTTGTGACTCTAAGCGACCTCGTCTGATCGGAGCCAGATTACCCAGAAAAAGGATTAGAACTTTTTTTTTATTTTGAAATGATGAATTTCTGCCAATGGTTTTTGGACAGCACACATCTGAACATGCAAGCAAAGCAGCCCCTTTGTATTCAGCAGCATTCAGCTCGCACATTGGTTTTGTCTTTCATAATGAATGACACACTAATAAGCTGCATATGGCCACACAGTGAGAAATCTTAAAACGAACAAGTAGTCCTGTGACACCTCACGACACAAAACCTCTCACTTCACTTTGTTCCACTCTGTAAATGACAAAACTATGTGGTGTATATGTTTTCCATTTGATGTAAGTAAGGATTGAAAAGCTGCTAAGACATTGTGGGTTGCAGGCCACCAGACTGATTTATGACAGCACAGAAAAGTAGTTGGGGGGGGGTCGACCAGAATTAGCGGGACATTCAAATATAGAGATGACAGTTGCGTATTACATTTTCAGGCACAGAGATACAGTTTCACAACTCAAACATCAGCAATGCTTAAACAAGTGTCTACATAGTGTCAGAGTTTCAGCATAGTCTTCTTTGGAGCAGTAAGTAAGTTATTTGAACACCAAAATAAACACACGTGAAACATTACAAGAACAGAAAAGGGAATTTCACAAAGAAACTTTGTGGAGGAAAGTTACGCAAACTGTTTTTTATTGTGAATAATCCTTGTTTTGCATGTATTTTAAATGTCCCAAATATAGTTCTCAGTATATTTTATAAACAACTTTTCAAATCTTGACGGCATGCTGTTAACTTTATTATTATATTGTAAACCTGCCAAAGAACATGAAAGAACATGAAAGAATACATACATTTTATTATTGGCTGCAAAGCACATTTTACATTTGTATAGAATAAAAAGGTTAAAGGACACGCACAGCATTAACATTGGTCCAATTTCTAGACATCTTTTCAGACTTTCTGACAGGTGCTCTGTTGCTGCTCAGCGGGTGTCTATTTTGGGGCAAGGTGTGACAGTGAGCTGAGGGGGCTTGTGTGAAGGGGAGGAAGTAGGCTTGGATGGGAAGGGTGAGGAGCCTGAATCACACAAGTGGGCTGGTGAGCAGTTCAGCTCTTCATAAACACATGATCACTTCAGCTACACCCACACACGCTGTCCAATTTTGTCTGTATTTGATGTGTCAGTGAGTTGTTATTATCTCATTTCATATTTATCTCATCTCATCTATCACATCTGTCTTATATTGTTGTCTCTAATAAAATTCACTTATTTCTCGCAGGACACTAGTTCACAACCCCATGGACAGGTAGTACAGTGCGGCACGAGCAAACAAATCAAACTAGCCCGTTTTCAGACTTTAAATTATACCAAATAATCATCAAATAAGTAGCCTATGTAAGTAAGTCAGTAGTCAGCAACAGCAAGCTATTTAAGGATAAAAAATATCACAACACTGGTACTTTTATAGAAACAGTGTGGATGACACAAAATATAGACATAGGCATGATAAAAGCCTCTTCATCACTACTAAAATACAAGACACCTCTGTAACTCCTTGCTGACATGTTATGTTAACATAAACATGGTGGGAATCACTAAAATCCTTATGCACTCACTAAGAATGTCATGGTGATACTGAGGTAGAGCACAGGAGAAACACATGCTCGCTATAAAGTGACATATTTAAGTCCTCTCACTAACATGACGGCGTATATCTCTCAGTTAGGTTTGTGGCAACTGAGGGGAGAACTTATAAGTTTGGAGGTTTCCTTACCGAGCATCCTGCTGGGGTCCATCGCCCCCACTTTCCTCCTCTGCTGTCTGGGACTGGGGTCCGCTGACTTGCCGCTTCCAAACATTGTTCCAACTTACGGAAACTCCGGCGAAAATAACTGCAAGCAACAAACTGTAACGCCAGAGGCTCGCCTGTTCACCCTGGGTAAACATTAAGTGTGAGAGCACAGGTGCAGATTTGTGCTGTCCGAGAAAGGCCTTGCACAGAGAGAGAGAGAGAGAGAGCAGGAGAGAGAGAGCCAAGCTCAAGAGTTATTCCTTTTCCACATGTAAAAAAAGTCCCTCCCCGACGCTGATGTTCGTGCCTTTTCGTAATACGACTCTAAACAAGGCGCACACTTTAGCCTACGCCCACCTCCTGGGCCCCAACAAACAAGGAGAACTGACTAACATGAAAGGATGGTGAAATCCTTGCGCACGATTAATCCATAAATCTGATAAAACGTCTCTGTGCAATGATCTTTGAAAAAAAATAAATCACGTTACCCACTTAAACGTAAACTGCACTTTAGTCCCATGGCATCTCACCTAATAGCAGTTTGGAGGGAACAGGAAAGGTGTGTGGAATCTCATCCAATTAGAATTCATATTTTTTTTTAATTCAATGCCGGCAGGACAAGGAGATAGATTATTTTGGTAACATAGCCTATATGGAAACATCTAGACTTCTCTATCCTGTTTCATTTACAACGTTCCACTATTTATTTCTACCTGCAGTCCAGTATAGGCTACAGCCTTGGGAACAAATTTTATGACTATATTTTGGAGAAAATATATCCCCCATTGCCAGTAAAATTGTTCTAATGGGCAGATATTCCTGACATTATCTCAGGTTTTGATATCCAAAAAGGGTTTGAACTCAAATGAAAGACCAATTCCCACCATGTTGGCTTTAAAGTTATTATTTTAAGGGGAAATATAATATTGTTTAAATATGATAAACGTGTGTTTCCTGTGTATGGATTGCTGTCTGTGTATATTTATGACCACTGCCTAGTTGGTTGTTATATTTGTATGCCACTGCACATGGTCATGTGACATATTCCAGGTGAGGTTCATGAGGACAGGACATGTCCTTGGGCCGCTGACTAGTCCAAAGTTCTGGGACAACAGATGATAAATTTGTGTGTGTGGGGGGGAAATATATTTTAGAATAGGATTTTTAAAATGTTTGACATGGAAAATGGGCCTGAGTGAACAGGCACCTAAAGCACAAACATATTCTCTTACCAAATCCTTCCCAATCAGTTAGATTGCAGCGCCCCCTTTTGGTCATGAAACTGAACTGCAAACGCCTCAACAACAACAATCAATTTTGTTCAAGTCAAATTCATATTCTACAGCCAGCCTATATGTGCGTGCATGCTTGGATCTATAGCGATGTGCTGTGTGAAAGATATAACCTAGACTTCAATCTTTTCTGTGAGTGGGTGGAGAGGTGCCCACACAACCAGAGCACTGGCTGGAAACTTAATTAAGTTTTTGTAATGGAGTTATAACAGACCAGAGAGGGACAGAGCTCAGCTGGGCGGTCTAAAACTAGTCCAGTCAGGAAGAGCATAAAATGCGATCTTCCGTGATCCACAGCCATCCGTGAGCTCTCACATGATTGTGAGCACACACACAAACAAGCAGGTTTGATGGGGTGGGCGGGAGGCATTTAAAGTGATTTGTTTCTTTCACTCGATCATTTAATGCAGCTGATGTAGCCTACCAAGTGTTTGCCTCTCTTTGTCACATTCTTGCAAAAACACTAATGTGGACTTGGCTGTCTTCATAAAAATCTAAAAAGTGCATCCCTCCTGTGCTTTGATGGATATCAGCCATTGCTTAGATTTACACTTCAAGGCCATGCATAGGCCTATAACAATTTATATCTTTCATTTCCTCTCAATTGCAGCAACAACCATGTTAGACATTGTAAGAGATTAAGTCAACCTACTAATCCTCACAAGCTGTGATCTATGTAGGAGCAGCTTTGGTTCTGTAGCTGCACCTCTCCTTCATTTGAGAATATGGGAACCTTTGGTATGATTTCCATGGTCATTAGGTATCATATTAACTGGAACGTATCAGATCTTCCTTAAAGGATTCCCAGCGCAGCTTGCTTTTTTGCCAGAGCTGAAACTCTGTCTGCTTCTATTAGTAGAAACAGTAGGCCTGTGTTGTTTGTAGCCATTGGACTCCCAGTCTTTACAAGCAGAGTTAAGAGAGACCAGTCCACCATAAGAGGTCACAGACTGAATAAGCCATATCTTCAAATAATAGAAGTAAATTGCTGTGAAGAAACTCTGTGTGAACATGGTCCTGTAGTGAAACACTGACAGTTAAAGATGAAGTCAGTGTATTGACAATCATACAGGACACTCTTCAAAAACTCCTTCAATATAGAATGTGTATGTAAAGAAAGTGCAACAGAATATAAAAATACAAAATCAATACCAAGACATTTATACTGCATAACAAGGTTACCATATGGTTTTTGTATTAAACAATTTATTTCAACAATTTATTTTACACAAACCGACAACAGTCTTGAAGAAAAGTTATGGACAATGTATGAGCAGATTGTTAGTTAAGCGTGTAAACCAACTAGAGCTTGCTAACCCTCATTTAAATAAAGAAAAAGCTTCAGCGCTGCCTTGAAAGATCAGGGGCTGTCTACTTCCTGAAACTACAATAGTTTATTTCGTGTCACGAGTTAATACGACCAAGGGCTGTTTTTGTATTTTTACAGGCTGCGACCTATAAAGTTCCGACATAACCTCATAACGTTAATGTTTAAAGTACTAGTAATTCTATAGTGGGGAAACTCTTACGGGCATCATCAACGATCCAGCAATTACCCTGACCCAGTATAAACACATTGGCCTAGTTAGCAGGCGGGTAACGTTAGCAATGTCTGTAGCTAGTGGCATTGTTATTTACTTTGTGGGTTCGCGGCAGTTCTATCGACTAATAAATAATAACAAATACATTTAGTTTGAAATTAGTCGACCGCTTATGGTTTGTTGCGTTAGTTAGTTTAGCATTAGCGAGCCTGGCTTTATGTGCAGTATGGCGTTTCATCGTTATAGCTTTACTGTTTCTAGCTAGGAACCACCGTTTCAGAAATGTTATAGTCATTAAATCTTTTTAACGTTTATTTTGTTTGTAGTGTGTAGCCATACACACTTTATTGATTGATTCAGTGTTTATGTTGGGAGAGACACCACGTAGCGCTCATTTGCTAACTTTCACTAACGTTAACGTTTGGCTAACGTTAGCTAGCTAGCTTATCCTTCGCTGCTAACACGACCCAACAGTGTAAAACTAACACTGCATATCAGAACATGGGTTCCGCAGAGATACTCAAAATTGTTCTACACCACTCCGTCCACTGGTAACAGGATTATTGAGCAAGTGTGCGATCGCTTGACCCACCCATTACCAACGAGGGGCTGGAAGCTGTGCTCGTAACGGCAGCTTGACAATAAATGTCGTTTGTTTACGCTGATTCCACACTTCCCCCGAGCCCCCGTCCCAGAGCGTATCACTCCGCACAGCACACAGAATATTCAAACTAAAACACTACATGATCCAACTGGCACCAAAACGACACCCTTTATGCCACTAAACATGCAAAAATAATTAAATTTTGAAAATGATCCGTGTTTACCCATTTTCATACATGAACATTCAAAACGGACTAGTTTCCGTAAGATGTTCTGTCCATTTTGTTTAAAACACAGGAGGGTTTTCGTGGTATGATTAATTCAGCGTTAGACTGTGTGCTTTGCATATACAAATAATTCATATGTTCAAACATATAAAATGTGCTTATGTGTTACTATTATAATATAATGTCATACGAAACTATTTAAAACAACTTGTATTTCGTAACTTTTAACGGTCACCCCCATGTTTGTAGATAGTATCGCCCACAAAAATGCCCCGGACTGCTTTCTTGGTTTGGATTACGTACTTTTGATTGCCTATTGGATCGTCCAATCAGAAAATACTTTAAGCTTAGCAACAGCAAAGCTCTCCACTCCTCCAATCAGCAAAGAGAAGGGTGGGCCTTATTGCGCTCAAGATTCTACCATTTGATTGGTTAAAATACTCGTCAGTTATAGAAGACTTGTGGACTATGTAGTTTGGTGTTGAGGCCTTTGCCAGTACTTCACTGAAAGTAAAACCACATGTCCCACAATGCCACAGGCGTTACAAGCAGCAGCATGCGCGCGACTATAGGCGGAGCTGCTATATAAACACGAGCTCCCTCTTCTTGAATAGCACACTGGACACTGTTGTGACGGTGGAACGGCGTCTCCGAGTGAACGACATTACTGACAGCATCGAAACAGTTAATGGTAGTTAGCGACAGTTGCTCTGACAAACCCTTAAGAGGAGTAACAAGTAAATACTGTTCGGTAGTTTACTTTTATTTTGCGCGAGTTTGTTTTGAAACGTCAGAAACTCAAAACTTTTCACAGTGACTAATTCTGAAATACGTATATATATTTTTTCAAATTAAGTTTAACGTCGTTTAACGAACTTTGAAGCTCAGTTCTGAGAGCGTGAACATGATCTGAAAGGCGCTAAAGTGAAGCCATCGGAGCGGATCATCAGGATGACAGAGCCAGCGGAGCAGACCCATCACCTGAAAACTTCAGGCAGCCCATCAGGTGGGAGCAGCGGAGACGCGTCGGAGCATCTCCCAGCCAGCAACCGTGGTGGACCAGAGAATGGCGACAGGGGGCGACAGAGAGACCAGAAGCGGCAGCAGCGGGCGGGGAACTGTGGGGATATCAACACAGACAAGTTATGGCAAATGAAAGGCGGACAGAGGGGGGTGTGCCCTGCCTTTGCAGCCGGAAACGAGCTCCCAAAGTGCCCGATTGCAGCTCGGTCTCATCAGAAATCCGATGTGCAGGCAGCGGGAGACGGTGGTCCCCCCTCACAGGGGAAAAACGGTGAAGACAGACCGCTGGGGGAGACCTTAAACCTCAAAGAGGAGAGTTTGCTCATCGACTCCGACACTGGCTTTGATACGCGTCTGGGCAGGAAGAGACACAGGCGCAGGAACTCCAAGAAGAAGCGCAGCTGGAAGCCTTATTATAAACTTTCCTGGGAGGAGAGGAAAGCCCTGGAAGAGAAAGAGACAGCCAGGGCATCCCGGCTGAGAGAGGAGATGTTCGCCAAAGGGCTCCCCGTGGCCCCCTACAACACCACCCAGTTTCTGATGGACGAGCACGACCGAGAGGAGCCGGACCTCAACACCGAGACCGGGGTCAGGCGACCCTCGGGGGTCGGCGGCCGCATGGAGGACACAGGCAGTGAGGAGGAGTTCTTCGACAACGAGGAGGACGACGATGATGACGGCAGCGGCGGAGGTAGCGACGGCATCGGGAGGCCTGGGAACGCAGGTGGGGAGTTTCTTCAGAGAGACTTTTCCGAGACCTATGAGATGTACCACGTCGAGAGCCTACAGAATATGACCAAGCAGGAGCTGGTCCAGGAGTACCTGGAGCTGGAGAAGTGCATGTCCCGCCTGGAGGAGGAGAACAACCGGCTGAGGCGCGCCGTAGAGCCCGGGGGTCTGACCGTGGAGAGCTCCCTGGTCCGGCTTGGAGAGCTGGAGAGGGAACTGGAGAGACTGAGGGCCCAAAACACGGAGCTCCTTCTGCAGAACCAGCCGAGCAAGGACAGGAGTCAGGTCGCTACTAATTAAAGGACACAATTCAAGTAGGGAAACCTACAAGGTAAAAATAATGGGACTGCTGCATTTAAAAACAAAGTCATCCGTTTTCTGTAATCAGTTTGTCTTCTGGATGAAGTCCTTGCATTGCAATGCAATACTTGACGTTTCTTTTCTATTTGGACTGTAAGGGTGTCCTGTTAATTTTTTTTTTTTTTCAAGAAGAAATGTAAATATTTCAAAAACAAGATTCTTTTTTTATAAAGAGAATGTATTTGACAACACGAGAATATTTTGTTTGTTTACCCGGTCAACTTAGTAGGTATTCACTGAAATACCCTGTTCCATTTTTGAATTTAAACAAACATCGTATGTTGCATTTTCTTCCAAAAAATAATTTGATAACAAATTACAGCTAATTGATCCGGCTTGCAAAGACTGTTTTTTGCATAAGTAAATTCCAGAGTGACCATTTTTAACAGTTGTGTGTTAACATAAGTTCAAATAAAATTTTGAAATTCTGCTATCGTGTTGTAAACGCCTGCTCTCAAACACAGGAAGCTGCAATGTGAAGCTACTGTGTGTGGACTTTGCCACCATACAAATAATCATTTTCTTGTGAGGATCCTGAAATGGGCCAGACAGACGACATCAGAGGGATCTGAGAATACAGACTGTAGCGAGAGCAGATGGGGGGATGGGATGTGCTCTTTATGATGGTTTGAGTTAAATCTATTAAGGGTATTTGCAAGGGGGAATGCGATATGGGTTTATTTCCCTTCTTTCGAAACAGATTTTGTTCACAAGAGGAGTGCTGGTTATGTCAAAAGCCAAATAATGTGGTGCAAATGTTTACCCTCTATATTTAATAAGAATGACATTATCATTATCATAATTATCATTATCATATATATATCATTATATCTCCAGTGTTGTAGCTAAAGTTCACAGAATGCATTAATATTAAACTACCCATATGAGATAAAATACAGTCAGATGAAGTTTCCTTCATGTGCAGGGGCAATCTGTGCCATTTGGCCTGGAGAGACCTTATTCATCTGCAGCCTCTAGAGGGCATCACTCAGCCCCTACTGTAAGTTGTCTTACATGTTTGTGTTTTTTTGTTTTCTCCTTTTACGTGTGTGTGTGTCTTGCAAAATCTGAAGCAAACGCACAACATTTTTTTAAACATAGTTCTGTTTATTTACATCATATAACCTTGCTTTAAAGCACACAGCCATGAGGGAAATAGTTTCAGGTGGACAACCTTTTTTTTTTTTTTAAATCCAGTCATTTTTCATATTAGTTATACTCAAAAGCAATTCCAAATGTACACAATACAATATGTTACATATTAAGATAGTATGTACAAAAAGATGAGTCAAACAATGAGTCATTCGGCGAATCACATTTTCAGACAACACACTCAAACTGTTGAGTTTTCCTTTTGTTCACCTTTAGGAAATTGAATGTTGGCTGACATGACCTAATGCCGTATTAGGGCGGGGCTTATTAGGTGTACCATATTCACACACTGTGGATCACTAGGCAGAGAGCGATGACCTCGGTTTGTTAAGAAAAGCAGCTGAGAGAAAGCTATGCCTCTTCTTTCTTGGCAGCATTGGTAATAGCTGTTAATGCCTGTGTTGAAGGCAAATAGAGTGCATAGACATGTGTCCTTGGCTTGGAAGTGTGCTTTTTTAAATCTATTTTATTGTTTTATTAGAGCCTCTCAAGTTAGACCGCTTGTATGTAACGTACACATCTTTGGGTCAGTGCCTTAGTTTTACCAATCAACCACAGGAGAGGAGGGAGGAGACCTAGAAACAACAAAAGGAAATGGAAAGATAAGAACTGACCATGGCACTGCAGAACAAAAACACATTCCAGAAATCAGGCACTTGTAGAAAAAATCTTGAGGTAAGACAGGACTGTGACTTATTGTTTATTATTACTATTATTATTTTTCGCTGGGTGATTTGGTCAGGTGAAAACAACATGACTTTGGAAGTTGCAACTCCAATTTGTGTTATTTATTCGTGATGGGAAATCGGTTCCACGGCCAAGGCGAGAGATGAAAACAATAGATTCATGTTAGCGGGGCGTTCTGTATTAATTTCCTCTAATGTACCATTGCCCCGGTCAGGGAGGATTTATTAGGGTCTGACCTTATGGAAAACTCCTCGTCATGTTAACCCCAAGGTGATAAATGTGCAGAGGACGTGATGAAAACACACAGATCCCCACACACAGGTGGAAATATAGTCGTTTGTATGTGCTACATAACATTTTAACAGTCTGTAAAACACTCAGGCTTCAGGCTTCTCCTCTGTCTCTTTTACAAGAAGGAACACACTTTGTCTTGAGCTCAGTAAATATGAGCAGATCTGTGGAGGCTAATCCGAGACATGACTAACAAAACAAATGAGGTCAGCCATCACAGTGAGGCGCTGAGCTGCCTGCAAACTGTCCAATATAATGTAATAATTACCAGATTACATTGCTCCTGCTACATGTAGTTGCTAGATAGTTTGTGTATTGTTGGAAGTATAGTCACCAGAGAAACCTATTTATAAGACTACATCTCAGGAGATAAAGGTTTTCTGCACAGTGCTGAGAATCAAGAGAGAAAGGCCATCTATGAGGAAATAAGGAACAGGTTTAGTCATGTTTATCTTGTCTCCTTTGTACAGGTACACCAAAGAGGTGAAATCACAATAAAAGTACTTTTTTTTAACTTTAATACAAAATATATATAATATATATTGAATATAAAACAAAAAAATGAATATATTAAGGGAAACATTTCAAGTAACATCTTGAAAGAAATGACTGTGCACTTTGTACGCACTTTTGTAAACCATAAAAAAAGAACTAAAAAAGTAAAAACACATGATAACATAATATTTATATTTACAAGGTTAACTTAACAAGGCTTTGTACAAATGTTACAAAAGTGTTCAACACAAACACCTGCACGCTCAGACATGATCACAAATAATTTTGCGCAAACACACAGACATTATTAACAGGTAGAGAGAGACGACTTTTGTGTATTTGTAACCTACCATATCTATTGTGTCTCTGGTCTGACGAGTGACAAATTAGGAAGACTGATAAAAATCAGTCGAGATCCCTCTTGAAATGGTTTTAAAAATGACCAATAACTTTTTGTGATTATATGTGCGGTCTCTTCTGGCTCACTGAAGTAGGTTTAGAGAAATATGTGTAACAGTTACCAAACTTTGATAAGAAGCACCATTCTCTCAAGAGCCAGAGGGGGGGCTGCGTTTCAGCAGCTTTCTCTGGTCACTTGAAGGGATTTCACCCTTTCATTTATGTCGTCTGTGAGCCTGGCAGGAAGGTAGAGGAGACGGGAAGGATGTTTTTTGACTTGTATGTGAATTCTTGGCATTGAGGTCGGTTTGTGTCTCTGTCCTGTTTCTGTATTATTTCTATAAAAGCACACATATAGGAAAAAAAAAACAAAAGCTTTGGCAACACTGGAACGCCCCTTGCCATGCAAATGGAGCTTATCGAAAAGAAAAGGGTGGGCTGCTTTAAAAGACCTGGTACACTGTGTTGCACCTGGCAACTAATCATGAACCTGTTTGCACTGCTGCCGGTCTACTGACCCCCCCCCCCCCCCCAAACCCCCAATGAGCAGCTTCAGCATCTTTTCCTTGGAGAGAAGGGTTGGGTCAGCTAGCAGGGCTCACAGGTACTGGTGGAATCTAGAGGTGGGTGTTTGACGTGCAGCTGGTCCTTGGTCGAGCCCGTCTGCGTCCCGAGGCAGCCCTGGTGTTTTGACCTGGTTTTGAATCATAGGAGACGGGGGGAAGTCATTGACAGTCATTGGGGGTCTTTTGTTGGACGCCTCAGTTGGGGAGGCCACCACGGTGTGTCTGCGCCAGGCCCGTCTCTTCCTCCTCGTCTCAGGTGACAGCGGTTTTCGCAGTCCCACACTGCGCAGGTCATCGGCCGAGCCCAGCAGACGGGCGCGGACCTGCTCCGCCAGAGACCTGCCGCCGGGGCCGGTCGGTGTAAAGGAGGCGGCCTCGCTCGGTTGCACGGCGGGCTTGGGCCGGGCCAGGCGCAGGCTCTCCTGGCTGCTGCCTGAAGAAGGGTTGGTTCTACAAGTCTCTCTCCTCACTCTGGGTGCGGCATCTGGCCCAGAACCAGCCCTGTCCCCTTGGGCCATGTCCCCAGAAAGCTCAAAAAGGTCCAGGGAGCGAGCCTTGGACTTCTCGGACTTCAGCTTCTTCCTGGCCAGAGTGTCACACTGGATCAGCTTGTGGGAGTTAAAGGAAGGCCGCGAATGCAGTTTATGAGTGGTGGAGGAGGAGGAGGACGAGGGCGTGGTGGAGCGCGCCCCTCCTTCACTTCTGTCCGCAGAGTCCGGTGTTTGTGTGAGCGCTGTGGGCGGGGCGAGAAGGTTTGTGGGTGAGAGAACAGGGGGTTTGTAGTGTGTGTAGAGGAAGCTGCGTGTGGCTGCTGCCGGTTGCGTGTTCACAGGTGCGGTCGGGTGTTTATCAGGTCTCTCCTGGGTGAGGGAGCGCGAGGCGAAGCCGCTCTCATTGTCCGTCTCGCTCACCAGCTCGCTGTGCTCATCATCAGCGTCGTCCCCCCTCCCCTCTGAAACCAGGCTCCGCCCTAACGTGGAGAGGGTGGAGTAGCCAGAAACAATAGAGCGGGCATCCTCTGGAGCTCGCCACGGTGGCCCTTTTACCTCTTCCCGCGCCCCCTCCCCCTGCAACAACATGGCTGCCTGCCCTCCTCCTGCCTCCTCTTCCTCTTTACAACACGGCTGAATAACCGCCACCGCCTCCTCTTGCACCTCCTCTTTCAACCTGCTTTCTACAACTTGCTCGTCTTCCTCTTCCTCCTCCTCTTCTTCTTCTTCATCGTCGTCCTCCTCTCCCACTGCTCGAGGAGCAGTGTCTCCAACAGGCGACTCCGCCTCCTCTTCCTCCTCTGGCCCTAGATGTCCGGCTTTGATTGGCTCGTGCTCCGAGTCATCGTCGGTGCTGCTGCCCACGCGGCGGGCGTTATTGCGCTTCCTGCGTTTGCGGCCCGTAACAGCTGACATGATGGACAGAGTCAGGAAGTCCTTGGGTGTTAGGTCCTTCCTTGACCCCCACGACCCCTGAAAAAGGAGACGACATTGCTATGACACGATCATACATTACACGTTATATGACTTCTATGTTGAACTACTGCTGGTCACATTTTTACATGCACATGACTTGTATAAGAGCAGTATAGAGTAACTTTGTACCATGTAAGGAGATGTTACCTTTGATTTAGCTGAGTCACTGTTGGTTGAGTCTGGGGAAAAGAGAATAAAAAGCGAGTCAGAGCCTTTGAAGCTAACAAAAGGCCAGAAGAGTCATGGTGGAGGAAACAGAGGCAGTTGGTGTGATCATTACTTTTTTAAAAGGACAAATGTACAACAAATCACAATAAAACTGCTACTGCACTGAAACCCGTCCACACCTTGACGTCACAGCAGGTGTTTTCCAT